CTGGGATACTAGTCCGTAAGCAATGACACTTAATACGTGTCAAATACGACAGTATAGAAGTCGGAGGAGACTGAACCCAACGTGTATTGTACAGGCTACAAGGATAAGGAAGCGACAAATCAGCCACGGAGCGAGGAACAGTGCAGCGAGGTAATCTCACCACACAAACGATAGTTTCTGTACCTACGGATTGCTAGTGCGCAGTCAGTTAAACAAATGGAGACCTTTCGAAGGTGTAACAAAACAACCGTAAAATCCAATGTTCCCATACACATTACTGCACAAGATCGTGTTTTCACGGTCACCAATTGTTGGGTGGAGCCTGGGATACTAGTCGGTAAGCAATGACACGTAATACGTGTCAAATACGACAGTATAGAAGTCGGAGGAGACTGAACCCAACGTGTATTGTACAGGCTACAAGAATAAGAAGCGAATCAGACGGAGCGAGAAACGTGCAGCGAGGAACTCACCAAAACGGTTTGTGACCATGGATGTGCAGTCAGTTAAACAAATGGACGTTTCGAAGGTTAAAACAACCATAAAATCCACTGTTATAAGATACTGAAAGAGCATGTTTTCGGTTGCACTACAAGTGCACGGCTTCTACCAAAGCCTAGAAATATAACTTTATTTAGTTATTGAGTTAATTATTGTGACTTACTGAATCGAACGGTATTGTTTTCGATCAAAAGACTTGCTTAGACAGAAGTCTGCGGTACCCTCCGAGACACTTTGCCGATTAAATGTTCTGCATTTTCGGGGGACTTGTCAATAATGACTGCACTCACATTGGTTGATTGGCAGCAACAAGCAAAGTGGTTCCTTCTTCCGCATCTGGCGTATCTCCCTCCCCTACGTTAGCAGCCCTCGCTGCTTTGCATGCGGAAACGGCACACAATTCTGCATCTGTTGCCTGCTTCATTTGTCGGTATTAATAAGTGGACGACGGCTCAATGTTGCAGCTAGAAATGCAATGCTGAAGCGATTAGTTGCGTTGTCTTATAAGCTGTTTTGTCATACTTTTAAACAAAGGGTGAATTACTCACACGAATATCTGTCATTCCGAGTTCAGCAATGAAACCAGCACGTCCGCCTGCCATTGGCCGTCTGGCGCGCACCGTTGGTCCACCTGCTTACACTGCTCTGATACTACCTTCACAAACTCCACTACAGCTTCAATGAGTTCCTGTCCGCAGGTCGTAGCAGTTCACCCTTTTGCCGTATTGCTTGCTCGCATACTTCTTCAGCTAGCTTGTGTCCTTAAACGACGGCATCCTACGATTGATCACCTCTTACGCCTGTCGAGGTAGCCGTCTTTTGCTCACCTCGAGAAACGGCTGGCCCACGTGAAAGATATGAACCTGCACAACAATGAAGGATACTATATCTTAGCACAAGCCGTTATGCCGTGCGACAAACTTGGCCTCACAGTCAACTTTCGCACCTACAATGCACAAGCCTCTCATTAAGGTAATACTCCAACTTACCGGTTACATGTGTACGCTCTTGGCCGGCAGTGAAAGCATTTATAGTGTATGGATCTGTACCTCACGCCCTCAGACAGATCTTTACAGCTTTTGTTCCGACACCCTTCAGAGGTCAGGGCATTTGATCTAAAAAACCTCATGCAGTACGCAGTTGGAAACGCTTTAAGTCACTTTCGAACTTTTCAAAAGTGCAGTACACACGCTGAAAGTATGCAGCATAGAAAACAGCGGTACCGCTGACAGCCATGACAGCGACTAAATCCTCCAACGCAATTTAGGTTGCATTCAAACTATCATCCTACACATGGAAACCCATATCAGCGTTGCAAACCATAGTTATTTTCTTTACATTAATAGTTCTTATGTCCTAATGTATTCTTTGCTTTTCATTCACAAGGGCACAGTAGCCTGCTGTCCACTACTGTAAACCAGTCGCCTGCATATCACCGACCATTGTGGAGCACGGAGTGATGCGGACAATAGGCTATTATGGAGATAAGAAAGCACCTAAGGCTTTTAGTTATGGACACAACAGTTGGTGATCGAAAAAACAAATGCTTTGGCGAACTTTCATGCTAGTAAATATGCAGTAATAAGTCGCACGTTCGGCACGGTGAAGAACGGAAAGCGATGAAGCTGACAAAGCTTTTTTCCTTCTGTACCCTACATTCCAAGGATCCATAGAAAAATTGTACAACTCAGCTCACACCCGTATTCCTGTCGAGATAATACTTCCCCGAATATTCGTTACGCCGAAGCCCATGGTCACCATACCTAACTTGATACCACAAAGTGTCAGCAACGCAAACCTGAAATATATACAAAGCACATTAAAGCATTTATAAAAAGGTTACAAGCTTGTTAAATCGAAAGAATTGAGTGATTGTTTGAGTTATCTGATGGTCAGGGAAATTCATTTCGCCGCAATTTGACCCGATGAATTCGGACGGCCGTCTTCGGTATGTTGCTCCGAGCACCGCTCCACCGCTCCTTCCTTCGGCATATCATGTGCTATGTGATTATGAATTGTAGTCATGATCGCAGTCCTTTAATATGCATGACCTTGAATTTTCTGGAAAGTTCCAGACTTTTCTCTTGGCTGCCTGAGATATTATGCACCAGAACATTTCGGATTAAATTGGCTTTGCCTACGCCGGTTTCCACAGGTTTTTGTACTGCAGTACCAATAATAGCGGACCCATGGGTCTGCACAGCTGGACGACCAGCCGTCCCATTTTGGCTTTTTTTGCTGACTCGCAGAGGCAGAAAGTAAATATGAAAACAGATGGCGTGTTATGTCCATATATATTGGCAAATAATATTACACATTTTTGCACCGCCATTCCTCGCCTATAAGGCTACTTTATAACTTGTAATCATTGTAACTTCCGTCAACCATTTGGGTGATCGTTTTTTATGCCCATGGATGTCCCAGTTGCTCACATTTGGAGCTAGTTTCGGTCACACAAAAGCATTTCCTGTTTAGCCTAATCTCTAAAGGATTGCGTAATTACAATTTGTGTATCGGTTTCGGTTTACCGTTGACGGTATTTGCAATTAGGAAAATGCAGTCACAGTAAAGTGGATTTGTTTATGAAATCCCTGAGTATTGCGAATACGGACTATGTAGCGGCCTGACCCTCGCTTACAGTCCATTTGTTGATTGGTCGTTCATCCTACCGGACGCTCCAGTTTACATTGAGATAACTGGCTCATATGCTTCGGATTTTGAATTGCGGTGACAGACCTACCGGCTAACTTCAGGCCTGTCAGCTTGACTAGCATGGTGGTTAAGTTACTTAAAAAATTAGTACGAGATATAGTGGAGAACCATTTAAATATGTATAACCTGCTTGGCGTTGAGCAACATTATTTTCACAAAGGATTTTCTTGTCAAACAAACTTGTTGCTAGTTCGTGAGAGCTTGACTAAAGCCGTCGATGGCTGGGCCACGTGTTGCGCATGCCAGCACACCGACTCCCGCGACGTGCATTGTTTGCGCGTTGTGGGTGCGGTTGGAAGAGGAGGGGAGACAAAGTGATGACTTGGTCGAGAGAAATGAAAACCCTCACTTCGAAGTTGGCGTCGGTTGGTGCATCCCGACTGCCTGGTTGGGGTCCTAAGGACGGTGAACACGTTTGGTTGGACACACTTGCTGATATGGCTAGGAGCCGGCACCAATGGCGTTTGTGTTGTGATTTCCTTTGTCCATTCCCCTCCTGTTTAGTCTCCCCCTCCAATCACGATCTCACCTGTTAGGCATAATACGATTCTCTTTTACGGCAGCCAGCTGTTAACTCTCCGGAACGATGTCCATCCGTTACTGGGGACTCAGCAGGCGTGCCACTGAGGTGTTTTCCACCTCCAGCTAACGTGTAATGAGGATGATGATGACGACTAAAGCCGTAGACAGTGGATATACGTTGGATTTGGTGTTCATTGACTTCGCCAAGGCCTTTGACACTGTCCCTCATTCGCGATTTTCTGAAGTTGAGGTCGTATGGAATATCTAGTCGCGCTCTCCAGTGGGTGTCAGCTTTTATGGATGGACGGGAACAGTGTATTCGTGTGTGAAGTAGTCTTTCGTTTCGACAAGCTGCCCTTAACGGCGTTCCGCAAGGCTCTGTCCTATGTCCGCTGCTGTTCTCAGTCTAAGCGAATGACTTGCCGGGGGGCTTGAGGTACCATAGCTCTTATTTGCTGATGACCTAAAGCTCTGGAATCTTGCTGATATCCCTGGAGGTCCTGTGGCTCTTCAACGGGCTCTGGATAGACTCTGGGAATGGTCTGTCTTGTGGTTGCTGCCCATAAACCGGGCAAACTGTTCAGTGCTACGTATCGGAGCGTCTGCTTCCTTCACAAGTTATGTGCTCGATGGGAGTGAACTTCCTCACGTGACTCATCAGGTTGATCTAGACGTCGTCCACTGTTCCACACTACACTCTGGAGACAACTGGAAGAAGGCGGCTAGTAAAGGGTTCCGGATGTGGTTTATCCGTCGTTCTTTTGTGACCCTAACCGCCAATGCCTTTGTGAAGCTCTTCTCAGCGTTTGTGCGACCCCACCTAGAATTTTGCGTCCAGGCCTGTCCACCATGCGTTGTCCGAGACAAAATTGCACTAGAAAGTGTGTTGCATGGCGGTACTACGTTGGTCGTGGTTTACGAGGACAAACGTACCCCGGACGCCTAATTAGTTTGGGGATGCATTCAATGCACTATCAAAGGATTAGAGGTGACGTAATCCTAACCTACCGTATTTTGACTGAGGTTGGCCCTGATTTGTCCTGGCTATTTAGTCCAGCTAGATTATCTGGTCTCCGCGGGCATTGTATGAAGCTGGACAAACCGCGGTCCGATCGAGTTAGAGCGGAGACACGGTTATCGCGTCGAGTCATCCAGAGAATGTTGTCAAGGAAGCTACGGTTAAGGGGTTTGAGCGTTAATTGGATGCTCTTGGGTCGCAGCACGAAACCTTTCTTTTTTCCTGACTAATTCCCATCTTCATACTTCGTTTCTGTTTTATGTAGTTGCCATTGTCATTAATATTATTCTCTTGTAACTGATTTCCCTTACTCTTTACCTTCGATTTTTCTTCCTATTCTACTTCACGTAACTGGCGTAGCAAGGACAGCAAATGTAAGAAACGTGGGCATTAAACTGGTGGACCTTGGGTGTTTTCGTTTTAGATCCATAAAGAAGTCGCAGCACCCCTACCAAATCCGGGATGGACGACCCGCTCAAAAAGGAACACTTACCGGATTCATCCCATCGTTCCAGTCCCACCTGAACTTGAACTTGACGGCGTTGTTGCTACTCCACAAATGGAAGGCGGGTCACGGGTTCCTGGGCCAGAAAAGAATGAGCGAAAGAGAGCAAGTAAAGTGCTCAAACCCTCCGCCCCCAAACCGGAATCATCATCATCATCATCAACAACAGTACATCAGCCATTTGAACTGATGCTTCGTTGCCATACAACCATGAGGACCTATGAAATAAAGAATAAGAAGAGAGAGAGAAGGGGGACTTACCTGAAAACCTTAATGCCCTAAGCAAACATTCAGGGTCAAGGCGCCTACACCTTGTGTAGACAACATACCGTCACAAACAGCTGGCTATCGTGCAAAGATAAGGCGGCATCGGCGAGACAGCTTCCTTGCGGCTTTCACTGCCACGCGTCATAATCAGCCATTACCCCGCAGATAACTCAGCACCAAACACTTTAAACAGACAATCCGATTAGGAGACGGCAGCAGACGCGCCACTGGTGTCAGTTGCGAGCCATGTCCTGTAAAGTCTCGAGCCAAGCACAAGGCGAGTCACGTGGACTCCAGCCCGGAAGGCGAGACGGACCAACGGCACCCAGTTTGGTCGTCAGTGACTTCATTTCCTGCTGCCAAGTCAACTTCTGTCCACCTAGAGCCTTGCGCAACCCTACACCTGGCAGACTGAACAAGGCCCTCCTAGGTAAGCGGTGAACAAGCATGCGTAGCACGTGCCCGAGCCAACGTAACTTATTCAGTGCTATCTGTTGTTCTAGGGAGCTAGCATGATCATCACCACCTAGTACTCGCCTACGCACATCATCGTTGCGGACACGCTGGTGCCATCCGACACCAGCAATGCTTCGCAAACAACGATGATCAAAGACTTGAAGGCGCGTCAGATCTTCAGACCGAAGGGGCCATGTCTCACTACCATAGAGCAGAACGGCCCTCACTGTGGCCTTGTATACACGGCCTTTCAGACGGAGGGAAACTCCCTTCTGTCGCCAAAGATGACGCAGGTTCAAGAAGGCAGCTCTAGCCTTTGCAATGCGTGAGCTCACGTCAGTTTCTATGCGCCCATCATTGCTGATGCAGCTGCCAAGATAAGTGAATTGATCAACCACCTCGAGTTCCTCGTTAGCAAGCGTCAAGGGGTCATCGAGTGGCTGGTGGTCCTGCAGCAACGCTTTGCACTTTGAAGGTGCGAAGTGCATACCAAATAATGGGACCACTCTGGATAGGCTATTCAGGGTTGATTGTGCCGCCTCAACATTGTCGAAAAGCAAGACGATATCGTCCGCATAATCTAGGTCAACTAACCGTTCACCAGGCAGCACTTCAACCTACATCGTGAGATTCCGCCAGGGAACACTCCATGATAGAATCCACGACGAAATTGAACAAAAATGGGGAAATCGGGCAACCCTGTCGAACGCCACTTGTAGTCGAAAAGCTATCCGATAGGCCACCATAGACCCTGACGCGGCCTCTAGTGTTCGAGTATAGAGCACGAAGGATGTTCACATATTTCGTGGGAACACCTTTCCGCGCAAGTATTTCGAACAGAATCGATCGATCGACTGAATCGAACGCACTCTTGAAATCGAGGAACACAGCTATTGTCGGTCTGCGGTATGCGTGGCGCTGCTCTAGCACCTGCCGCAAAGTGAATATATGGTCTATACAGCCACGTCCTGGGCGAAAACCGGCCTGCTCTTCTCTAATCCGAGATTCCCGTTCTGCAGTGAGGCGACGAACGATAATCGAGGCCAGTAATTTTGTCACAACTGGCGTTAGGCTAATACCCCTGTGGCTCGCACAGTCTGTGCGACTGCCCTTTTTGTATATTGCCACTATAATCGATTCGCTCCAATTAGCCGGCACACTGTCTTCGTTCCAGATACGTTCGAATAGGGAGGTCAGTGCCCTGCAGAGGACCTCACCTCCATCCTTAAATAGTGCAGGTGGTAGGGAATCCGGGCCAGCGGCACGAAAACGATTGAGGGCTGTGATCGCGTTTCGGACCTCGGCCTCCGACGGAGGCTCTAAACTAACCGCCCATGGCTCGTCCTGCATCACCTGAGTAGGAAGAGGTCCGGGAGCAGGGGGCCAGCTGAACTGATGTTCAAAGTGCTCAGCCCAACGAGCCATACGGCGCTCCTTATTGTGTATCAGCGCACCCGCGCTGTCCCTG